CCGACACACCTCCCCCACCACCCCCCGCGTTTTCGAAACCATCTTGGCCACCTCAGGGTTCCCGACCGAGCACCCCCACGGATGGAAAACCCGCCAGCACGAGTGGTACACCAGGTCTGGTCATCCGCAAGGAACGGGCCAAGCCATCTCAAGTGACGTCTCCGACCAACCGCGTCGAGAAGACGCCCCCAAGGTCGGTGTCGACGCCCGCTTCGGCACGTTCACCCACGGGCAGTATCGCATCCTACAATGTCGCCTCACCGACCCGCAGACCCGTCCGGAATGGTTCTGCGACCATTCTTGGCTCCCCAACGCCCTCCTCGTCTCGGGTACCACCGCCGTGTCCGGCGAAACCCATGATGTCGGAGAGTAGCGCGGGGTGGAAACACGCGTCTGGATTGGTCAATATCCGCGACGAGCTTCTCATGAGCTTGCTCACCAGCGAAGCTGTCGTCGACAGTCGGGAGTGCGAAATACTCAGCGCCGAGGAAGTCGAAGAGCTCAAAAAGGTATGTGAGATCGAATTGCTTCCCGCCCATACTGACACCCCTTTCTAGGAGTACCACGTCCTCAAGATTCGACTGACGGCGATGCAGAAAAGGCTCGAGCTCGAAACCAAGATTCGTGACGCTGCACTCTCGCTGTCCAAGGTGAACGCAGCGCACAGAAAAGTTTCGAAGCAAACAGAGGAGCAACTCGAGGCGGCCGAGCGCAAGGTCTCGACGGCGCAAAAGGAACTATGGCGCATATCGGAACGGACGAGCGAGGTATATCGGAAGCTGCTTGAACACCGTGCTGGTGTCCTGGGGTACTCTGTGCACAAGATGGAAAAGGATAATTTTCCTTCCTTAAACGGTGTATCTGAACAGGATGCTTCGAGAGCCCTCACGCCCGTTCGAAACTCGACCATTAGCTCCGTTGCCAGTGCCCCGTCCACCCCATCAAAGTTTGATGGTGCTCATTTGTTCGCTGGCCATGCAGGCGCACAAATCCCCAAAGCACCCTTGTCTGCATCCGATATTACTACTCTCGAGGCCAACTTACGTGCAGCCACCGAGTCTCTCAACGCGGCGAACAAGAAGAACGCAAAGTTGGCTCGCGAGCTGTCCCACCTTCGCTTGGACAAGGAACAGTTGGAGACGACGATGAGTATGGAACTCGAGAATGCCGAGGAAACGGTCGCTGCTCTGGAACAGGAGCTACCGCGGTTCGAGGAAATCCAGGCACATTGCGACGAGCTGACCAAGGATCGTGCGCAATGGGAAGAGGACAGGAAAAAGTTGGAAGCACGGGAGCAAGAGGTAGAGAGGCTTGAACGACGACTCGAAGTGTTAGAAGAGAAGAGTGGCGAAGCTACGGAGATGGAGCAGATGCTGGCCACAATTCGGGAGAAAGCAGGTGCAGATGTGCAGAGAAATGATGAAGCGCTTTCGGCCCTCCGGGTGGAGTATGAGGAGGCACGTGCAAATTGGCAGGCAGAGAAGGCTGTGATGGAGGATGAGTTGGATCTGCTGAGAGGCGGTGGTGAAGCCCAAGTGGAGTTGAATGGCGCATTCGAGACACTTCATACGCTGATGAAGCTCCACGATGTCGATCACACATCCAGGGATGCATCGTTGCAGGGTTTACTGTCATCAATTGGAGCCCACCTCGAGAGCCTTTCGGCGATCTTGAAAGAGCACTGTGACTCGCGGGACCAATTGGAGTCTCATTTCCAAGCGGAACTCGAGGCATCACGGCGAGAAAGGGACGATGTAAAGCGGGAGGCCCTCGCCCTCGACGCGCGCGTGAAGGTTACCCTTTCCGATTCACTCGCATCCCGCTGGCGCTAAAATTCATTTTTAGAAACTGACCTCGCCATCCGTCCATACCGGTCCGCCGATCGAGTATAAAGGCGACGTGGCTGACGTCGTTGCACTCTTTCAACCCGTGTGGGCCGTTTTGCCTGCTCCCGAACTCCGTTCGGCAAAGCTCAACACCCCGCGCCACCTCCGAGGGGGTTCCACCGCGTCCAGCCCGGGTACCGGCCATTCCAAGTCAGGCCTAGCCTCCCTGTCGGACATGGACGTTCGTTCTCTTAAGACGCTCTATGACCCGAAATCGCCCCAAGCTGCCGTCGGTGGTACTTTCTCGCTCGAAGCTTTCGTCGCGCGGGTTCAGGCCTTGGTGATCGACGACCGCGCATTGATCGAACGATTGATTCGATCCGCGCAAGCGCACGATCTACTCAAGAAGAACGCGGAGCGCGCACAAAAGCTCGCCGAGGACAGTAATGCTGCGCTGGAGACGTATCAAAAGCACGTCGCCACTCTCGACGATCAAAACTTTTCTTTACAAAAGAAACTAGCTGCTTTGTACGTGACTTTCTCCCTTGGTTTCATTTTAGAAGGAGCACTTGTGGAAGAATTTCTTCGATTTTATTTTATTTTTCCTCTTTGCGCGGTGATCATGTTTGCTCATGGGATGTGATACAGGATGAACGAGATGCAAGACCTGCAGGTCGCTGTAGATCGCGCTCTCACAGAGAAGAGGGACATGGAGATGCACGCTGCCGACCAAGCAGAAACATGTCGACAACTCACCGAGGCCAACAACACGCTCAGCGCCAAGACGCTCACCCTCGCGCAGGAGGTGGCGTCCGCCCCCGAGATGGTCCGCAAGCATCTCGAAGGTCAACTGGACGAGTGCCAAAAAGCGCTCCGCGAAGCCCAGGAAGAAGTCGAAGCGATGCGGACGTCGGAACAGACGCAGCGGATCGCGCTGTTGGACGAGCTCAACTTGATGCAAACCGAGAATGCGACTTTGAGGGCGCAGTTGCGCGCGCTCAAGAAATAATTCTTGATCGTCATCGTCCTTTTTTTTCTCGGGTTTGGTACGAGGGGGAAGGGAAAGTGGCTTTTATATTTAAAATAAACAACCTTTTTTGTCGTTTTCCGGACCTGCTTTTTGGATGCAGAGAGGCTGGAATGCATATATATATATCCCTCTCCCTCTCCCTCTTCTTTTCCTGCTGTTTCTCCCTTCCCCGTCCTCCGGAATTCTTCTTGGCTTCTCCTTCACAAACTATGATAACAGGATTTTTCTTTTCTTTTCTTTTTCTCTATATAATACCTACCTGATCCGGTTGATCATGTCATGGCTGGATGTCCTGCTGCTGTGATCCCATCGTTTTCTTGTGTCCTCCACATGTCCTGTGTATTTACCTCCCTCTTACTGCAAATGTATCCTCACGCACTCGCTATACGATTTGCTAATACAAGCATTACATATCTCTCCTGTTAGATTGTGGCTTGATCGAAAAAAAAAACGCTAGGAAATACATAAAAGTGTACAATCACGGTCCACCGTGTTCAATAATAAAAATGGAAATGAAAAAACGTCTCTCCTCCTGCCGCCCTGTTTTCCAGCCGTAAGTTACGTCCAGTGCATCCCGCTGTACTTTTCCATCACGTCACGCTGGCAACCACATATGAATGTCGTCAACATGAGGGAAGCGAAGCGAATAAGAAGCATGTTATATCTACCCACCTCCTATCCCCGCGGAGATGATCCCCGACGAGCCGCCGATCATGTCACCAGCCTTAGAAGCAAATAAAATAATAGCGCCACGTCCACCACTTGGACGGCGGTTCGTCAAACGAGTCGGACGACATGGACGAAAAGTCCGAGTCCGAGTCGATCTCGAATTGATAGGCAGATGCACGGATACGGGCGGATGGTGCCTGTGTAGATATGGTGTCGTGTGATCAGCGGAAAAAGAGACTAGAGAAAGAGGGAGAGGGAACGGATCCCTACACGTTGTAAAGCTCTCATTCTTAAACCCATGGCGCGTTCGTGCTCGATGGATATGATGGGTAGTAGTTACGCGTGATAACACGTGTAGAGAGGATAGGTGAACAAGGGGATGAAAAAAGTGAAGTGGTGCGAGAGTGATAGCGATCGGCCGCAGGCGCGGGTGAGACTACGAGTGTGAGGTTGCTGAAGGAGGTACGACGCCCTGAGGGGCTTTTTATACTTACGCCTTCAGCCTCGCCCGAGGAAGAAGGGCGTTGGCAACTTGCTTGCACGCCCATATCCCTTTGTTGGTATGCTTCGTGCTTCGTGATTCATGACGGTTGCTTGGTTTTGCCTGCTACCGCAAGGCGATCGGGGCAGGGGGGTACAAATATGGGTATGAGGTGGCATTACGTCTCTGAGAGCGTTGTCGGTGTGATCGTCCTCGGGTGGGTCAGTGTAAACGTCATGTCACGTGGCCCGGTAAGTCGGGATGCATGCAATGTTCTGGTGGTTTCCCAGGGTCAGTTTTCCGCATTTGATGGTACAGGTGGATGGGGCTCACCATGAGGGTGCAGGTTTCCGCGGATGAGTCGGGCTCCTTGGCTTGGACGCATATTTCGGTTCGGCGCGTAGACAGGATGGAAGAAGAAAACGTGTCACTCCAACTTGCAGTTGAAGGTCATATCGCGCTGCCGTAATCCGCCACTAAATGGAAGTAGATTCAGAGTCCTTCGGTGTGCAAGCGATGCGATAACGTACCGAGACTAGTGACCACTGCAGCAAAAGGATCCTAGAGGGAGCCTTGTACTTTGGAAGCCCTAATTAGACCGATCGGCACGTTCGATGCCAAAGCAAGATGGGTGGTCGGCTTATTACAGGCGTGTCGAATACTTTGGATTTGGTGATTTGTCCTGGGCCCTGGGCAGATAAGCAATGAGGTGATACGTCACGGCATCTCACAGTTGCACAGTGGCGTCCTATCCAGATGAACCAAAGCTATTGAACGTGCGTGTGGATTGGACCCCAGGTAAGTGTGCCATCACCGCTCGTAATTTAGGTTTTTGCAATATGGTACTTGCAGCGTCACGGAAAAACTGTATTATGTCGAGGGACTTGTTCAAGTTGTTTGAACGACAGACGAAGCTTCGTGGCAAGAAAACGAACGGTATTTGTCATATTTGCGCCTCACATGATCAATATTTTCAAGGCTACATCGCAACCAAGCCCTCGTTGTCTAATGGCTATGACGTCAGACTTCTAATCAGATCATCTGGAGGTTGTGGGTTCGAGTCCCACCGGGGGCTTTCCTTTTTTTCCTTTCGGAGTAGACGCATTGACAATAACATCAAGTGACCATGGTAATACGGTATGTATTGTTCAATGATTTTTTAAATACTTTTCATTGCAGAGTTGTCTACGATGATTGATGAGTCATGTGAATTGTGCAGGGGGGACCCTGTGGGGCGTCGCAGGCGGGCAGGCTCATATCTATGGGTTTTCATTGTTCATACTGCGCCTTACCAATAATCAGTTCAAGCGGCGTATTTATTTGACTCCGGAGTTTGCGTGGTCCGGTTTGATCAATAATCTTGTATAAGGCATAGCCCGTTCTTGCGTTAAATAGAATGACACGTAAAATTTCCACCCAATCTCGGGCCCTAATCAGCACTGACCGGATGATGGGCGGGACTGATAACCGCTTCTTGCCGGACTGGGGTGTGATGCTTGTTGTCCACCCGACAATGGAAGACTCGCTGTCACTCTCTTGAACCTGAAACCGGAACATGATTCACATACACAATGATCCGGGTGAATGCCTATTTTCCGTGACCCTCACCTCCAAGGAAGTTCCCGCCTGTCGAGCACAGTGACCCATATGACGGTTGGTCACAACCACCGATGGGGCGGGGGCGGCGCTTTGGCCGTTGCCGGTCGGAAGTCCGAGACCGATTGAGACCGTTGCTGTGCTTGTTCAAAATCTGCCGTCAGCGATTCACTACATATGGTGGGTACATATATTGTTTGTTTCATCAAGATATGGGAATGAAAGTTAATTTGACGACTAGGCCACTCTAAGGCCTAAGGTTACCCAGGGGCGCCAAGTATTGTGGGATTAAATCTTGCGTAGCTACTTGTGGCTGGCACAGTGTGGGTTGATGCTGTGGGCCGTGGCCAGCCAGATCGGCATGTAGAGACGCGCATAAATGTTCACGTCACAGGAGGCATATGGTGTGCCAGGTTTCCCGGGGTGTTCGGATGGCGTTTGCCAACCGTTCAGGGGGATATGCGGATTTTTACGCAGAAGTTTACCGTGCCAGATCTGAAAAGGTGACCCGCACACTGCAACCACATTTTGGATTACTTACGGCGAGGATCGTTGGAGTGCCTCGTGTTAGTGGGCTGTTGGGCCACGAGTTTGGATGTGGCCAGGAACGGATCGAGCGGGGCGCTGGCCGGACGCGGAAGCATTGACACTTTGGAATCCGCGAACGTCTGATATTGTTTTCCCACGGCGAAGTGCAGGGTGCGACACGATAACTCGGTGCCCAAATTCAATGCCCGCTCCCACACATCCACGCAAGGGACTGTAAACCTCTCCATCTCTTCTTGTCCAGTTTCCACCATCTTCCCAATGGAACTCTCCCCGCAGCACCGCGGTTCCCCTTCCCGCAGAGGAAGGTCTCCCCGCACCCCCGCTCACGGCACTTCCCGCTCCTCAGACGCCCTACCAACAGACTTTCAGAATAAACAACCAAATACCTTCACCTCCTGTCTCTCAATCCCCGTAGAGGGTGCTCTCCCAATCATGTCCCAGGATGATCCTCCTTCCGCCACCCTCTCCCGGTCGTCCGACCACTCCCCCTCCTCGTCAAAGCGGGCTCCTCGCAAATCAAAGACTCACGCACTCGCAGCGCTTCACTACCATGCCTCATCGCACGATAACGACGATGTCGCCTCACAGGACATATCCGACGATTTTTCTGGCGATCCTATCCCAATTTCAGTTTCTCCCTCCCTCGACCTCTCTTCGGTCAAGACCTCGAGTCCCAGAAATCAGCCACCCCGAACATCCCCCCGTCCCTTTGGTCTAGAGGATTGTCCCGTTTTCTATCCTAATTCAGACGAATTCAAGGACCCTATGACCTACATTCGCTCGATCACCGAAAAAGCTTTCAATTATGGAATTTGCAAAGTAGTCCCTCCAGTCGGCTGGAAAATGCCCTTTGTCACCGATACAGAGGTTTGTGTCATCTTGCTGCATTTTTCTCATTTTTTCGCCCGCCTCGTTCTTACATTCATTCATTTCCGCTAGACCTTTCGCTTCAAAACTCGATTGCAGCGCCTCAACTCCATCGAGGCTTCATCTCGTGCAAAGGTTAATTTTCTAGAGCAGCTTTACCGCTTCCACAAGCAGCAAGGCAATCCACGTGTCTCCGTGCCCACGATCAACCACAAGTCCCTCGATCTGTGGCTTCTCCGAAAAGAGGTCCACAAACTGGGTGGCTATGATGCGGTATGCATCGCGCCATGAAACTTTTTTTTTCCACCGCTAACTCGCACGATAGGTCACAAAGAATCGGAAATGGGGTGACCTTGGTGCTCTCCTCGGCTACAGGGGCATACCGGGTTTATCCACCCAAATCAAGAATTCCTATACGCGAATCATCCTACCTTATGAGCATTTTTGCGACCGAGTGCGGAACTCACCAACGTTGTCGACTTCACCAGGTGCAACTCGTGATCCTCACCTCAAAACTCACTCAAATATTCAATCGGTGCGAACCCGTAATGGACACAATCGCGATGCCACATCCCCACCTTCTAGCCCTTTAACGTCCTCATCGAGTGTATTGTCTGACCTTCCAGATGATGGCGATTACAAGGAACGGAATGGTTCCCGCGCAGAAGGTACGAGTTCAAGACGGAACACAAAGTCAACCTCCCACGACCAAAACTCTTGTGCGTTTTTATTTATTTCTGCCGTACGTCTCACCAAGTTGGAACTCGGGTAGCCACGCGGAAACGACGCAATATTGCCAGCCGAATGTCGGCATCGCCTACGTCACAGCCAGATGAGGAGGCAAAATTAACTCAGGAGGTAGGTAGCTAGGTGGAGTGAGTCGACTCACCTTCTGACTCCGAGATAGCAGTCTTGTGAGGTTTGTCAGAAGAAAAATCACGGGGAAGAAATGCTACTCTGTGACGGTTGTGACTGCGGTACGGCGAATCTTTATTGTTACGTCTCATAATCGTGTCTCACTTTTCAAAGGCTTCCATATGTTCTGCTTGGATCCGCCATTGATCTCCATTCCAAAGGATCAATGGTTCTGCCACACCTGCTTGTTCGAAACGGGTGGTGATTTCGGTTTTGATGAGGGGGAAGAACATTGTCTTTCCAGCTTCCAAGCCAGGGATCTCGAGTTTCGCCGGAGGTGGTGGGCGTCTCACCCTCCCGTGCACAAAACACCGCCAGATCTCAACGATCCCACCGTTAATTATGTCGGTAACACCCTGGTGACCGAGAGTGAAGTGGAGAACGAGTTTTGGCGACTTGTTCAGTCCCCGAACGACACGGTTGAGATCGAATATGGCGCCGATGTCCACTCGACCACCCACGGCAGGTATGTCGCAGATGATATTTTTTGTGATTTTCTACCGTTGAACATTATTATCACTTCCACGATAGTGCCATGCCGACCATGGAGACCCATCCGCTTGATCCTGCCTCCAAGGATCCTTGGAATTTGAACAACATGCCTATTCTGGCGGATTCCCTTTTGCGATTCATCAAATCAGACATTTCGGGTATGACCGTGCCATGGACCTATGTAGGAATGGTGTTTTCCACATTCTGCTGGCACAACGAGGTAAGTTTTCGCCACCCCCTGTTATAAAATCCGCAGTCGTAATGGCTTGCATAGGATCATTATACGTACAGCATCAACTTCCGTGGGTGTCGCGTCTTCGTTTCATTTCAACGGTGATATGATTGACCGTATTCATATAGAACATTGGGGAGAGACAAAGACTTGGTACGGCATCCCAGGAGAAGATGCAGATAAATTCGAAGCCGCAATTAAGAGCGAGGCGCCGGATCTGTTCGAAGCACAGCCGGATCTCCTTTTTCAGCTTGTAACATTGATGAACCCGAAGCGTCTCACCGATGCTGGGGTCCGCGTGTACGCATGCAACCAACGTGCAGGTGAATTTGTCATCACTTTCCCGAAGGCGTATCATGCTGGGTTTAATCATGGGGTACGTTTTACACGCGATTGATCGATCATACAGTATTGATTTTGTGCGGCTCTAGCTTAACTTCAACGAGGCCGTCAACTTCGCGCTTCCTGATTGGTTGCCTTACGGCCGCGACTGTGTGCAGCGTTACAGAGAGCACCGAAAGTTACCCGTGTTCTCTCACGACGAGCTTTTGGTCACCATCACACAACAGTCGACGTCCATTAAGACGGCGTTGTGGTGAGTCATCATTGCAGGCGTGTTCTGCTATTCCCCGCTAAATATGACCTACTATAGGTTGGAGCCGAGCTTGAGGGAAATGACGGGACGCGAACTGGGATCACGCCAGGTCGCTCGGACCCTCGGTATGGTGGAGCGGCTCGAAGAAGAGGATCGGCCCGAAGACCAGTACCAGTGCGTCTACTGCAAAGCCTTCTGCTATCTCTCGCAAGTCACTTGCCACTGCAAGAACGAGGTGGTTTGCGTCGAGCATGCGAAGCATCTGTGCGATCATCCCATAAACCACCACGTGTTGAGGCTGCGGTTCTCTGATGTGGACCTCCAAGAAAGCCTTGGCAAGGTGGCTGATCGGGCGGCCATCCCGGCCACGTGGAAGGCCAAGCTTCAGAAAGTCTTGACAGAGAGTGACGTGCCGTCGCTCCGCTCTCTTCGGGCAATTCTCGCCGAAGGTGAACGGATAAACCACTATCTGTCCGAGTTGGCTTCGATCAGAAAATGCGTCAACCGTGCCAGTGAGTGGCTCGATGCTGCCAACACGTTTATCATCCGCAAACAAAGCCGCAAACGTTCTCGCCGTTCACGTGGTCGACCTCCACTTCACGAAGTCAATAACCCCGCATTCGATGACCGGGACCCGGGCGACAGACCAGACCGAAGTCTGGAGGATCTCTACGCTCTGCTAAAAGAGGTTCAAACCCTTGGTTTTGACACGCCAGAGATCGGTCTATTGCGTGGGTTAGCGGAAAAGTCGGAAGAAATCCAACGCAAGGCTGTGACGCTGCTCAAGGATGGAGGTTCTCTAGGTGGTCGTGACACGTTCATCAATGAA